CAGGCCGGGGAGTGACGGACACCAGCATGCACAGCACACGCCCGCACGCAAGCCCTGCGGGGGCCCAGCAGCCGCTACCACCCACCCCCCGGCCCCGGGCAATGTCCTCAGGGTAGCAGGAGGGCACTGACCAGCACAGGACCCCTGGGGTCCTGGGTCCTCTCCCAGAGTGCTCTGGTCCCGTCCTCCGCTGGCCATGAGAAGGCCTGGCCAGTCCCAAAAGGCCAAGCCTCCTCCTTCCTCCCCAAGAGGGCAGGTCCCTTCCTGCAGGAGATCCCGATTTTGACAGAAACCAAAAATCGGTATTCCATTTTTGTTTAAAACGTAAACAGCGAGATACCTATCCACACTCGAGAAAAAGGCCACCCCAGAGCAAGATGACAGGAGGACCAACCTGCGTTGGGTGGGACACGGCGGCTGGCTTTCACTTTCTTTGGCTTTGATACAGAGCTACAGGGTGGTTGGTTTGGGGTGGGTTTTTTGGGGGGGGGTTACAGAATCTCAGCATCTGCCTGTCAGCCCCTTGTAAAAACTCCCCCACCTAAAAAGCCCCCTCCACACCAATGCAGATTTGATTTTCTCCAAAACTCCGCCCACCCCCAGAGCCCCTCCAACCTTGCCCCCAAGTAAGCTGGAAGGAGCCCGGCGGAGGGGGGGCAGGCAGGAGCTCCCTGCCCAGTACCCCCACCCATCCACCCATCTGCTTGGCTATAAGCTGAGAGGCCTGACCTCGACGAGAGGCCACTTGGCGAACTGGAACGTCGGTCCCCCCGAATGGTCCCTGGGCTGACCCGGACATGAACCAGGGTTTACCCAGGCCGGGGCCTGTGGGAGCCTCCACCAGCTGCCCAGAACCAACATCCCCAGCACGCCCCAGAGCTCCAGAAAGGGCCAAAGCCCCCCAGGGGACCCCCTCCCAGTCTCCCTCCAAGAAGATCCCCCATCTCCCAGACCCGGACTATGCCAGCCAAGTGAGCACCCAGGGGCCACGGCGATTCTGGAGGCAGGAAGGTTTCCTGTGGTGCCTGGGGCCAAACACATCCACAGCGGCCACCTCCCACCCTCCTCTTGCCCATGTTCTCTGGGCTGGCCCACTCCCCCCCCAGCCTTGGGAACCAGGTCATTTCCAGGAACACACCAGCTCTCAGGCCTCTAGGCTTGGACAGGCTGTTCCGTGGGCCGAAACTTCCCCTACGTGTCTCCTGGCTCACTGCAACCCAATTTAAACACCTCCTCCAGGATGCCCTCCTGATCCTCCCAGCCAGAGGAGGGTCCTCTTCTACCACATACCCCCGAGAGGGCCCCAAGCTGGCTTCTCTGAGGCTGCTAAAGTCTGGGGGCTCCTGAAGGTAGGAGCCCCAACTGGTTCGTCAGGCATCCCTGGGGCCTGGCCTGGATAGCCTAGCCTAGGACCTGGCATACAGAGGTCCCACGTAAAGACTTACTAAATACATGGATAGGGTGCAGGTGGGAAAGGCAGGAATGAGCCGGGATAGACCTCAGGATTCGCCGTGGTCCTTAAAAACCAACCGAGCGAGCACCAAGTTTTAAAGAGATCCCAAGGCACCAACAAGCTGTGCAAGCCCAGCAGTTAAACCACCTCTCTGAGCAGAGATGCCATCACATATGAAGAAAGTGGCCAGGAGGAGGCAGGGGAAGTGGACGAGGGACAATGACACTGGCCTTCCCTCATCTGTCCCCACAGGTGGTGAGTAGCAGGTGGCCCACGGCCAGCAGGCCCGGGCTGCATGCCTGGCCATAGGACCCCAGCTCCGACTCCAGGCCGGGCAGGGCCGCAGGCACCTGACTCAGCCCTGCTGGGCCTGAGTGCCCCTGTCCTCAGAAGGGCTTCAGCTCCCTTCATGTGTCACAGCGCTCACCAAGAGAACACTGCCCCTCCACAGGCCCCCTGCTAGGAACAGGCAGATCAACAGGGCTGGGCCCTGCCCAGGGACGTGCTGTCCAGAGTGAGACAGACTTTTCCGGGAGCCCATGGAGCTGTCAGTCACTGATGCAGAGCAGGAGGAAAGGCAGGCTGTCTGGGAGCAGACATCAGGGAGGGCTTCCTGTAAGAGGCACCACTCACCTTCCTCCAGATACAACACAGTAGCTTCCTGCTGCATCCCCCCTTCCCCCCAAAATGATCCCCGCACTCTGTGAGGACGGGACCGACACCCCCGCCACCACCGCAGGGAGGGCGGCAGACAGATGCAGGGGACCCCTGGCAGCAGGAGGCGGGGAGACCAGGGACCAAGTCCAGCCCCGCCCTCTTGTGGCCCAAGGCCACAGGAGACGGTATCACCTCTCCGGGCTCCGATGTTCTCTTCTGGAAGATGGGCTGATGAAGCCTCCAGACGCAGCTGCGTGAGGACGCACGTGGGGCGGGCTGAGCACGGTGCCGGGCCCCGCAGCAGCTGGGGCACCCGGGCACACAGCAGGTCCTCGATAACCAAGAGCCCCCGGGGGGCCTTCCGGCTATGTCACGCCCAGCCCGGGAGTAACCCACAGCACCCTCCCCACCCCGACCACGGACACTCCCACCTCACCAGAGCGCGGGTCTCCCGATGCCCCCTTCTCCACGGCCCTGGCTTGGCGGCTGCCTCGCTGTGTGGCCCAGGCCTGGCCCCTCATCCTTTCTGGGTACCTGCTTCCTCCTCCGTTAGAGACGGTCTCCAGCGCCCCTCCCCTGCTGACGAGCGACAGGCAGACGCCACAGCCAGGGCGAAGCCTGACCACAGGTTCCTAGAAGCCCAGCCCCCCACCCCGGCCCCCGCAGCAGGGGGCCTCGCTGTCCTGTGGGCCCCTGTCCTGCTCCCCTTCACCCACAGAACCAGGTACCAGAAGCGTTCTCAGCCAGCTCCAGGCCCAGGCTGGCAGAGTTCCCTTGGGGATCCTGGCCTGCTTGTGCAAGGTGGCCCCGTTCAGAACAGCAGAGCTGGGATGCACCCCCAAGAGCGCACTCTCCTGCCATACCACGTCCCCCCCAGTCTGACCCGGAAGAATCCCAGGGACAGCGGCCTTCACCGTCCAGCCACCCACTGGCTATGTGACCCCAGCAGGTCAGTCGGCTCTCTGACCTGCTTCCCCCTCTGAACACCAAGCATCAGGACGCAAACCCGAGGAGTTACAGGAAGACTCCTCGCGCCACCCGAGGTCGGGTGCCTAGAGCACAGTGGAAGATCGGTGGCTGCAGCCTTGGTGGCCGTCTGTCCTCTTGCAGGGTGGTCCAGGCACCAGGCCCTGCTCCAGGCAAAGGGAGAGGAACGCCCCCCGGTGCTGCCTCAGGTTCCCCACTTCCCATGGTCTCCTCGCCAGGGGGTCAGCCCAGAAAGGGGCCCACGCCCGGCCAGGGCATCCGTCAGAGGGCGCAGGGGCTGGGCCCTTGGCTGCACCATCTGCCACCAGACTGATACACGCTCACGGCGCCGTGTCCCTGGCCTGCCTGTGCTCCTCCTTTCCCCTCCCTGCTCCTTCTTGCCCTGAGGGCAGCGACGGCACAGACTCCAAGCCCTGGGTTCGAATCCTGCCCCCCCCTACACCACAGCCTAGTGATCTACGTAAGATGGGCAGGTCACAAGGACTACGTGGGCCCAGGGTCATGTCACCCTGTCCTAATGCCACGACCACCGCCGCCAGCCTGGACAGCAGTCGGGGGAGAGTGACCTCTCCTCATCTCCCCAGGGAGGAAGCGGGGAGCTGGGCACCCAGACAGGGAGGCCTAGGCTGGGCCTGGCACCCCGGCTCCTAACACTGGGTCCTATGACGGGCTGGCAGGATGTTGGGAAACCCATGAGCACTTGGATTTCAACACCGCTGGCCGCGTCAGCGACTGGTTTCGACACGCTGCAGCACCCGGGAAAGGGCCACGGCCCTCCCGTCGGCCCGCCCACCCGCCACGCCATGCCACACCATGCCACGCAGCAGGGGAACGCTGGCCTCGGACACAGCGCTCTCAGCTCCCCTTGCCGTCCCCCAATTTGGGTGACGTCCCCTGTTCTCAGGGACACGCAGAGACAGGGGTCGGATCATTCCAAAGGTGCAAAGGCCACCCCCAAAACCTGTTACCCACACCCCTGGGCTGGGCTGCGGGCCCAGTGAGCCAGGGGGTACCGGGCCTAAAATCAGCCACCCAGCTCTGCTCCAGGCCTGTGCGCCACGGCCATGAATCAGGGACAAGATTCTCTGTGGACCTCGCCCGCAGCCTGGCGGCCTGGGGCACCCTGGAGGCGTGTGCTCACCCCACCGTTTACACGGCGGCCACTCAAACTGAGTGCACACGCACCCGACCGCACCGCCCGGAGAGCCCGGAGCCAGCCTGCGGCCAACATGCCTTTGTTCAACTTGAAGCAAAAACAAGAGCGGGGCCGAGGGCAGCTCGAGGGGACCCCATGCTCCGGGAACAGGGTCCCACTGCACTCTCAGCGCAGTCCCACCCCACAGAAGGGGAAACGGAGGCCTCATGAGGACAAGGGATTCAGCCAAGGCCTCACCTGAAGGAGCAGGGCAGCTGGGACCCCACTCGGACCCACACCCCACTGCCTCCATGGGGCCAGCAGTGAGGAAGAGTTCCAGCTGGGGTGGGGGTCTGGTCGGGTGGCAGGTCAACGTTAAAGGCAAATCCTTGGGAATAGGGACTGTCTGCCTACCCGTCCAGGGCCCTACCACGTGCCGACCCCAGAGCCCGCCCGGCAGCCCCAGCGCTAACCACCCCCCACCCGGCTCCTGGGGCCAAGGTTCCCAGCATGGGCACCCCCCAGTCCACATGACGCAGCCTCACCCCAGGCCCTTGGGAGTCATCCCAAATGAGCTAGCAGAGGCACACTGCACTGGCCACTGCCTCCCTCCGGGACTATGGCCCCCCTCGGCCAGCCACCCAGCCTCCACCTCCCCTAGCACGTGTGGCCCAGGGGCATCAGGGCCCCTCCGGGCCCACCCCTCCGTGCTCCGAGCTCCATTGCTGCGCTCCAGGCCCCCAGGCCCCAGCCACCCCGCAGCCTCACCTGGGGCTCTACCACACCGCGGGCTCTCAGGGGCCACCCTCCTGTCCAGGCACCCCCCCACGGGAGTCCAGCACAACGCCCAGCCGACTGCTGGGGACAGCTCGGGGTGACGGAGGAGGAGGACTCGGCCATCACACTGCAACTGGTGCTCTGAAATCCCAAAAGGCTCCGCACAGCCAGGCCACACCAACAGAGACACTAAATTTCGAAGGAGGCGTGACCACATGCCCTTCATCAGACACAGGCTGGCCTGCCTTCTCACACCAGATGTGGGGACACGGCAGAGAGCCCACTGGGGGAGACAGAGGGTGAACCCATATGCAAATAAGGAAGGGAATGAGGAGGGGTGGAGAGGCAGGGAGGCCCAGGGTGGTTCTGGGGGCCCAGAGAGGCCTCATGGAGAACCGGGCGCAAGAGGAGCCGGCCAGGGCGCAGGGGGCCCAGTGCTCCAGGCAGTGGGAGCAGCCGGCCACAGGGGAGCCTGCAGGGGACAGAGCGGGCTCCGTCAGGCGGCAGTGAAGCCAGGGTTCAAGCTCAGGTGTGAGGACATCCAAACCCGTCACCCCACATGGCCCTCTGAGGCTCCTGAAGACATCCCCTGCTGAGGACAGGCGGTCCTCCTTCCTGTCCCCTCGTCAGGAGACCAAGGGCCGACCCAGGCTGTCGCAGGGAGTCCAGCCACGAGGTGCCCCCCACCACGTGCCCAGCACCCCACCACATCTTCAGCCCAGGGAGGCTCCAACACTTGAGAGGGAAAAGGACCCTGCCTGGCACATGCACACAGCTGACTCCCAGCTTATCCACCTGTCAGGGGTCTGGCACGATTTACATGCACACGTGTATGTGTGTGGCTGAGTGCAGGTGACGAAGGCAAGGCTTCCGGTGCTGGGAGGAGGGGCCTCCCGACTCAGCCTCCCCCCTGGCCCCCTCCTGCCTCTGAACCATGAGGCTGCAGGAGACGGTGGGGCAGCTGGGGGACAGATGTCCACCTGGCCCACGAGGGGAAGGGACTTTCCTGAGGTCACCCAGCCACCCCAGGTGGAACCCTGAACCAGGCCTAGGACTCCCGAACCCGGGCAGCACCTGGGGGGCAAGGAGGCCCAGGACAGGGCTGGGGTTGTGGGGAGCTCTCAGGGACGATGGGGCCCAGACAGCCCTCACACTCAACACACACACGTGTGCACCACCCACAGAACGGCACACCTGATCTCTCACTCAGAGCAGGACAGCCAGCTCTCCAGAAACGTCCGCTGCCCAGGCCTCTTCACTCCACAGGGAGCATCTCTCCCACATGGCCGGGGCTGTCTGGCCCTGGGAGGGAAACCCCAGGCCCTCAGGGGCATCCTCACCGGAGCCTGGGGACAGCCAGAGCGAGGGTAGCTGCTATCCCTTCTGGAAGGGGCCTCAGCTGCTCATGGAGGCCTGGTCACACCCCGTCCAGCCCTGACCAGCCATCTGCTGATCCTGTGGGGACACCGGGCACTGAGGGACCCCAAGCTGGGGGCAGGCAGGGCCCCGTACCTCCGCTGGGAGGAGGCCCATCCAGGGACCCGGGCTAGCTCAGACAGGGCCCCGGAAGACATGGAGCTTTAATGTAACCGTCCCCGTGCCGACTTTCTTCTGCAGGCTGTTATTCCCCAGGATGAGGGCCTGGGGCTCCTTCAAGCCCAGGACCCCCAGGCTCAGGCTGGGGAAGCCCCCGGCTGCAGCCCTCAGACAGTGGGAGGGACCCCCAGGCCCAGGGAGGCCCCAGATCCATCCTGCAGCAGCCAGGCTTCCCGGGTCGGCGGGGCAGCCCAGGCCTGGGGCAAAGGGCGGCCCCTCCAGGAGGGCAGAGATGGCTGCATAACGAACGGAGCAGTGTTTGTTTAGTAACAATTACACGGAGCAGGCAGAGCGTCTTATCGCTGAGTCTCTCCAGCAAGGCTGATCCCCTCAACCCATGTCAGGGAGCTCTGGGAACTTTTAGCTTAATTAGCAGCTCCTGCAGGGTCAGCAAAAATGGCCGGCTGGGCCAGGGCCCCGGAACCAGCGTGGCTGCCAGGGAAGGCGGGGCGGGGCCTCTGGTGCACCTGGTGAGGGGGAGGGCAGCACGGCCGGCCCCTCGCCGCCCTCCACCCGCGCGAGTGCCAAGGACGGCTCTGTGCCCCTCGGCGGGCGCATCTGCCCCACGCACTCATTGCACTGCTGGGCAAGTGAAGGCCTGAAGGTGGCATTCAGGGCAAACTCAATGCCCAGGACACCCTGCAAACGCCCCAGGGAGAGAAGCCCACCACACGCTCCCCGCGTGACCTAACAGCTTGGCCAAGGGAGGAGAGCCTGCCTGGGTTCACGTCCCATCTCCAGGGGGCTGGCTCCTGGACCACTCCGTGCCACCTGCCCACCGAGGCCCAAGACCACTGCCCTGGCCACCCCTCTGAGGCGCACAGTCTCCTTGGCCCTGCAGGAGCCGGCATCTAGGAGGCGGGGGTCAGTCCTCGGTCCCAGGGCACTGCACGGCCTCAGGCAAGGGACCCACCTCTCTGGCCCTCGGGTCCCCACACGCTGGGGACAGTCCCTCCGGGCCCTTCAGACCCCGACACGGAATTTCCAGGTGCTGCTTCTGGACGCTGGAAGACCAGGCCAGACAGAGACATTCTCCGGCCCCACCCGGCTCCTCACGGGGCGGCCCACGCCCACTGGGGAGGGACACTTCTCCCCACCCTTGCACGGCCACGCTGGCCCCAGGCCGGCCTCTCCTGGCCTCTCCTGTCCGAGGGGGCCGGGGCAGGGAGCAGCCGCGGCTGGGGCCGGGGAGAGTGCGGCTTCCACGGCCCCGGGAGCCCGCCGCAGCCGGCTATTCTGCCGCCGACACCCCGAGGTAATGGGTTCCAGATGTGGCCGGTGCGGGAGGGGGGCAGCCCCGCGCCCTGCTGAGGAAGCTGGAAGCGGCCTGAGATAATGTGGGATTCCTGAGCCTGTGCCAAGGCTCATGGCCCCGGGAGGGGCGGCGAGCCGAGCAGTGGGAGAGGAGAGGCCGCTCCCCTCCCCACATGTCGGAGACCACCCAGGCAGCACCGATGCCCGAGACACCCCCCACCCCAGGACCACGGCCCCTCCACTGGGGGGGGCCCAGCATCTCCGAGCCTCAACCTCCCCTCCGGGACTAGCAAGACACCTCTCCCGAGGCTACTGCTGAAGCTCTCGGGGGCTGGCCTGAGATGCTGAAGAGGTGTCAAGCCCGACCCCTCCAGAGAGGAAGGGGTGCAAGCAGGCTCCAGACAAAAACCCTTAAGGCTCCAGCCAAGGCAGACAGTGCTCCCAGAGATCACTCGCCTGGCCCCGACTCCGACCCTCCAACTCACAGAGGGCCCAGCTTCATTGCTGGGCATCTGTATGCACCACCACCGCTGGCCAAGTCCCCCACCCCACGTGGGACCCTTCTCCCAAATCGGGCCTGAGCTGGGCAGGACAATGGCGGGGGCGGGGATGCTTTCTGCCCGACACATCTTCCCTTCCTTCTATGGAGCATGCCAAGTGCCCCTCCTTGAGCCTGCCTGGCCTCTCGGGGCCACCCCTGGCCAGGGTTTGCAACCACCAAGGACAGACATAAAACTGGCCCAACTGGCCCACTGAGGGACAGGGAGGGCCCAGTCCACGCACAGCACAAGCCACTGGGCCTGGCACCCCGCCTCGGCCAGCTAGCAATGGCTAAGGCTGGGGGCCTGGCCGCACACTGCACCAGAACCCACTGTCCACACTGAGGCCCATGCACGCAAAGCCACGGATAAGCCAAGAACACTTAGGTCTCACGGGGGAACACGTGGGGCAGCTGCTTTTTTAGGAGCAGGCATACCTGCCAAATTCTGTCCACAAGGGGAGGGTTGGGCCACACTCCGGGTGCACCCAGGGCCCAGATGCCTCCTTGGCTCACCCACCTGTACCAACGCCCCCAAAGGAAACAGAAGACAGGCAGAGGGGCTTTGGCCAGGGGCTGGCGGGCTGCTGGGGTGTGGCCCTGAGTCTCCATCTCTTCATCTTTAAAGGGGGCTCTTGAGAGGACCCCGCGAGCCAGCACACATGGATGCTTTCCCGAGGCCTGGTGCGCAACCAGCACCCTGACCCCGGCTACGTTCCCCACCCAAACCTGCACAGCCTTCACCGTAGGAAATGTCCCCAGACACTGCAGGACTGGCCCCCTCACACACAGGGTGACAGGGACAGGGCACAGCCCTCTCCAGCCTGTCTCCTCCTCTGTAAGAGGCAGGGTACACAGAGGGGAAGGGATGGACACCCGCATCTATAATGTTCAAAAGGCCAGGACCACCAGCCAGGGCCAAGGGGCCAGCCCCGCCTCGGGCACTCGGAGCCCACACACCCAGCTCCTCTCCCCTGACCGGCCAATACCAGGGGCCCGGCTGGGTCCCAGGCAGCTCCAAGGTCACCACAGGCAGAACTGGGCAAAGCACGGTCCCACAGATGGTCTTCCCCAAACTCCCAGAGCACCCTACGGCCACCACATCCCTGCCCCTGCCCGGCAGACCCCAGCTCAGGTCACCTCTAGCAAGAAGGTGGGTCCAGAGGGTCCAGAAGAGGCCAAGGCCAGGCGGGGCTCAGCTTCTAAGCTGTAAACTGCCCCATTAGGCTGCTGGGACCCATGATATAGGGACCCAAAAGGCGCTGCCGTCATTACTGTCAACAAAGACACCAACCCCAGGCCTTTCCTGGAGCCTCTTAGCAGATCAGCTGGGGCTCCCGGTGCCCACACGTCGGACGCTCACCCTACCTTCTGCCCTGCCCATTCCAGGGCTTCTGCACCCTGTCCTTGAACACCTGGACCTCACCAACAAGACTCTGTGGACCTCAGAAGCTCAGCCCAATGAGATGTCTTAATTCAGCCTGAGATTTAGAAGGAAAACAAGATCAGTCCCGTCACCACCGTGGAGAGTCTAGAAGAGCAGGCGGGAGGAGGAGCATGGGAAGAGGAGAAAACCACTGTCTCTCAGGATGAGTTGGGGCTTTTCTAGCTGGAAAGTTAAGGGAGGCTTTTCCCCACGCTGCTACAGCAAGTGCAGATGACAAAGTAGAGGACTCAAGGTCCACTCACAAGTCACAGGGCCGCACCTGCCCGAAAGCCGCCCCCTGCCCCCAGCCATTGGCACCAGAGAGGGGCGCTGCCCTGGATGTGGGGGTGCTCTGGGTGTCAGAAAGGGGCAGCGCCGACCTTGCTGGGG